ACCCGTGTGTAAAAGCATCTCTGTGTTGAAAGTATCTCTGTGTAAGAGCATCTGTATGTAGAAGCATCCCTTTGTAAAATCACCTGTCTGCATAAACCACTCTCTGTGTGAAGGCCCCTCCCTGTGTAGAAGCCCTTGTATGTAAACGCATCTCTCTGTAAAAACAAAATGGCTGGAAACTTGATTCCCAAATGGCTTGAACCCTGCCCCAAATCGTGTTTCCAGCCTCACCCATGTAAGAGTGCCTCTTCCTAGATGTGTCCTAGTCTAAAAGCACCTGTGTGTAAAAGCGTTTCTCCGTAAAAGTACCCGTGCAAAAATCCTTTTTGTAAAAGTATATATGTCTAAACAGACGCTTTTGTACAAATGTTTTCCGGTGTAAAGAACATCTCTGCGTAAGAGTATTTACCCTAAAATCCTTCTGTGTGTAAAAGCTAATTTGTGTCAAAAGAAACCCTGTGTAAACTCACGTGCGTGTAAAAGCACTCCTCTGTAAAAGCATCGCTGTGTAGAGGCATCTGTGTGTACAAGTACCCCACGCGTCTGTGTGCAAAAGTTTTTTTGCATATATAAAAGCATTCCTGTGTAAAAACACCTGTGCATGAAGGTATTTGCGTGTAAAACCATCCCTGGGTAAAAGCATGTGTATGTGTAAATGCATGTGTGAAGACATGTCTTTGTGAAAGCACCTCTGTGTGAAAGTATCCGTGTACCATATGTTGGTCGTTTGCTGTTAGAATCTCTAAGCTGCGTAATATCTGCTGCAAAATTGCTCGGTATTTGCAGCATTCTGCAGCTAGCACCCATACATTGCATGGCATGATGCAACATCAGTTCACTGCAAAAAGCTTTGCCGTCGGGTAATATTTGCAGCAGTGCAAAGCTAACATCGGCAAATTGCATGGTAGTTGAAAGATATGGGATCATATCAGAATGTTTGCAGTTTTTGGAAGCCAAAAACTATCACCTGCACAGTATGCGCGGCATACTGGTGCAAATTTTGTGCATCGCATAGTCTTTGCAGTATTGCAACTACCACTGGTAAATTGCATGGCACGCGCAGCATTTGAAATTGAAGTCTGTCAATTGGATGCTATTTTTACGACTTTCTGAAGCTCAAACCTGCAAGTGGACGGTATTCGCAACATCTTCAAATCATCATCTGCAGATTCTGCAGATTGCACAACGTGGCATGGTGTTTGCAGCGTGTTGCGGCTAACATCTGTAAACTGCACGGTCTTTGCCACATTTTGAAACCAACATTTGCAAATTGCTTGGGACCTGCAACTCTTTGAAAGTAACATGTGTACATGGGAAAGTGCACGCAGCATTTTGGAGCTATCCTTCGTTTCTTTCTTCCTGCCGTCCTCCTTCCTTCCTTCTTTCCTTCCCTCCCTCTTTCTTTTCCTTCCCCCTGTCGGGATTATGTCCTTCTTTTCCTGTTGGTTTTCTATTCTACTACCTTATTCCTTTGATGAATTTGCGCGAGGGTCTCGGTGCAAGTGTAGCATGCAACAGGTATATGTCAACTCCTCTGATGAGGTGAGCAGCCCACTGCCCCGGTTGCTGCATGGGCTGAGGGAATGTCCGCAGTTGCTTCGGTAGAAGCATCATACTCCGTAAGTTACTTCAAAACATACGTCAACACCCGTCCCTCCCCCCACTTCAACCCAAACCTGCAAACGCAAGGTCGTCGTCACATCGTCATCGTCTTCGTTGTCGTCATCATCATAATCCTCCTCATCATCATCGTCATCGATATCGATAAGGATACCGATATCGATACCGACATCATGATCACCATCATCATCATCGTCGTCGTCGTCGTCGTCATCGTCGCCGTCGTCGTCATGACAACAGGACGCAACCGTTGAAGACTACCGGGCGCATGGCACAACCAACGGACCACCAACACAACCACCCCGACACCACCAACACGACGCCACCAAGATACGACCAAGACACCGAGTGAACACCTTGAATTAACATGGAAGCCGCTGAGACACCACCGAGACCAGCGACACCACCGAGACATCATCGACGCACCACCGAAACACCAAGACACCACCGACACGACCGAGACCCCACCGAGACACCACCGAGACATAACCGAGGCACCACCGAGACACAACCACAAGACACCACCGAGACACCACCCAGACACCACCAAAACACCACCGACACACTCACCACGAGACACTCAGCACGAGACACCACCGAGACACCGCGGACGCCACCGAGACACCACCAAGACACCACCACCGAGACCCCACCAAGACCACCACCGAGACACCACCAAGACACCACCAAGACACCACCGAGACACACCAAGACACCACGGACACCACCAAGACACCACCAAGACCCCACCGAGACACCACCAAGACATCACCGAGACAGCACGGACACCACCGAGACACCACCAAGACACCACCGAGACACGACCAAGACACCACCGAGACACCACCGAGACACCACCGGGATACCACAGAGACACCACCAAAACCGCCAAAACACCAATGAGACACCACCGAGACACCCGAGACCCTATACCACCGAGACACCGCCGAGGCCAGCAGCCGTAAACCCGACGGCGCCCATCCGACATAGAGTAACAACCCCAAGCTATCGCTATCGGGGAACAAACTCAGGTGCTATCCCCAAAAGCTTGAAAGCTTCTGCTTTGTTTCATTTTTTTCACAGCGAATCTAATTTTTGCAATGATGGTATTGGACGCCAATTTCCGCTTTGCACACACATCTCAAAAAGACATCACAAAAACACAAAACAAACTTCTCAAACATCAAAGACACCGACCAATCTTCTTAAACATGTCAAAGACACAAAACAAAGTTCTCAAACATCTCAAAGACACAGAACAAACATCTCAAACACCTCAAACTGTGTAACAAAGGGATCTCATACGTGTACTTCATGATAAAACTGAGTTTCAAAAGTGCTTTAACGCATCCAAAGGACATTGACCTTACACGTATTGTCTGCATTTACAATCATCACAATCAGTATCTGAATGTCAGTGTGTGAAATGCAGAGAAACGGGACACTAAGCAAAACCGCCATTTAGTATGATGTTGCACACGGGCATACGAAACATTCCCATGAAGAGCTGTACCTATCCCTGGTCTCTGCGCCTGCCACCCGTGCAGTTTACCAGAGTGATGGTTGCATCCTTGGTCACTGCGCCTGCTACCCGTGCAGTTTACCAGAGCGTTTGTCATATCTTCTGCGCCTGCCCCCTGGCATTTGGCCAGGTTGATTTTCAAAATGTTGGTGTCCGCGCGTGCCGCCGGCGCAGTTCAGCAGATTGCTTGTCGGATCCCTGGTCTCTGCGCCTGCCACTCGTGCAGTTTGCCGGGGTTTTCGCCCACAATGTTGTGATGGTTCAATATGACGCCGCAAGTTTTGTCGGTCATGTTGTGTTGAGTGGTTCTCACGCTGGCTTGTCCTGAGATTGTTTCCTTTGCCTTGCCATGTTGTTTGTCATACATTTGTTTTGGTGCACGCTGCGCTTGATCGAACAGGTTATGCTTCGAATTCAGCGTTGTCAGCTGTTTTCGTTTGCCAACGTCTTTTCCGGATCTAGTTTTTGCAATGATTGGTATTGGACATTAATCTCATACATGTGCTTCATGATAAAACTGTCTTTCTAAAGTGCTGTAACGCATCCAAAGCACATTGGTCGCACATGTACAATCATCACAATCAGTATCTGAATGTCAGTGTGTGAAATACAGAGAAACGGGAACAGAGAAACGGGAACAGAGAAACGGGACGCTAAGCAAAACCACCCATTTAGTCATGAAAAAGTTTTTGCACATTGCTGCGTACAATCGTACTTTGATTCGACGCCAATCGTATTACCCGTACATCTTTTACTGAGTCGCTGTCACCCACGTCTCTGCTGTTTTTAACCCACGATGTCGTAATGGTTCGAGATGACTCTTCAACTTTCGTCGGCCGTCTATTTGTCAATTGTCTGCAAGCCCGCGTGTGTTAAGATTGCTGTCTTTACGTTGCCGTTTCATTCCTTCAAAATTTTGTTTCGGTTTGCAGAGTGCTTGGGTTAACCATTTATGCATCGACTTCTTTTTTGCCACGCCCTGCCCCCCTGCTGCAAAGTAAATCTACAAGTATATGAGTGCATCAAATACTGTGTTTAAGTGCTTGACTTCTGCCCAAAAAAAATGTTTATGCCATAAGCATCTGCACCCGAACTTTCCGGAACCTTACCGAGCTGCACCCGAACCCTCCGGAACCTCACCGGCTATCTGCACCGGAACCCTCCGGAACCTCACCAGGTATCTGCATCGGAGCCCTCCAAACCCTCACAAGGTACTGTATCTGCACCGAAACCCTCCGGAACGTATTTGCACCAGAACCCTCCGGAACCTCAACAGGTATCCTTACCGGAACCCTCCGGAACCTCACCAAGTATCTGCACCGGAACCCTCCAGAACCTCACCAGCTATCTGCACCGGAACCCTCTGGAACCTCCTCAACAGGTATCTGCACCGGAACCTTCCAGAACCTCACCAGCTATCTCCACCAGAACCCTCCGTATCTGCACCAGAAACCCTCCAGAACCTCACCATGGTATCTCGCACCAGAGCTAGTCTGGGCTAAAGACCCCATATAGCCTTGTGGGAAAAAATAGAGAGGCCCGTTTGCAACACCATTTATCATCATTTACCTACTGAATCCTAGTGGTTGTCACAAGCAATCTGCTCCTCATCGAAATCAACCAACTAGACTGATCCTTCGTGAAATTATTAGGACTATAAACACAAAAAATCATCAAACCTTCTCAAAAACTGATAATTTAGAAAAACCACAACCTTCAACCATTAATCAACATATAACATTTCGGCCTCTCTCACTCATTCCGTGTCATCTGCATTTCGAACTCTTTTTGGATGCTGCGCTGCCTGTTGGTCGCACTCCGTTGCAGCGGCTGTGCGTGCTGCTACGGATCTACTATTTCAGACCATAGTGGTGCGACTCGAAGTGGCCATAGTATCGCACTCCCTCGTAAACCATGTCGCAGCTGCTTGTGCTTGAAGGGCGCGGCTCGAAGATTCAGTGCGCTTCACCGTGTTCTCCTCGATCTGTGAGTTGATTTTCCTGGCACTCCTGAACTCCTGCAGGTCTGCTGTGAGGTGGGTCTCTGTGTGGGCACTGTCTGTCCTCGTTTCTGCTGCTGTCTTTCAGGGCTAGTCCCAGGTGCAGTACTTGATGTTCTCCACCCGAGCGTCTCTGGTCTGAGGTAGGCAATGGTATGAAATTTCAAGTGCCTAGGAGCATGCTGTTCTGTTCTGGGTTCTGTTCGTTGGATGTTTCCGAAGGTTGTTCCGTCAGTGCGGGCCATGCCCGCGATTGGTTGTGGCACTCGGTCTGGGTCTTCGGTTTTGCGAGTGGCTATGATCGTGTCTTGAACTCCGGGCTCTTCGTCGCTCAAGTTGAAGTAGATGTGACTGACTTCGCGGGCTGCCTCGTCAGGCAATTCCACTGATATGTGATGCTGATTCATGAGGATGCTCATCTGGAGGTTGAATGATTCTTGATGCCCTCCATGTGATGGTCCCTGCGTGATCCCTGGGTTCGCCCTGTGATATTGGGGCCGCGGGCGTGTGTGCTGGCTCTGCTGTCCATCATCAAGTTGCAGGACCGAAGCCACTCTGTTGGCCGCTTGGTTTGAGCTGGTTGGGTGACATCTTGGGTGCTCAGTTGAGGTGTCTGGATCGGAATCAGCAGTGTCCTCCCCTGCAGGTTGCTCTCCGTTGTGTCCGAACTCATGCCCACCTCCCTTGGAGGTGTTGCCATGGGTGTTTGGAGCGGACCACCGGTCCCCGCTGCTTTCAGCCCCAGACCGCGCTACAAGGTCAAAAGGTACCAGCATGAGTGCTAGCGCGCACTCCCGGTCCACCTAGTCAGTGGGGCTGGCTGACGAGTTTCCACTGGGTTCTCCCACCTCCTTCTTGATAGTGTTTGCTGCACAATTCGCGTGCTGCATTGGATCTGGTGACCCTCGATGTGCCGTAGCGCCATCCGCTTCTTGTACTCCATGCTGGAGTGGTTCGACAGGGGTGTCCCGCTGTCATGTTTTCTCTAACCCTGTGTCGATCTTTCGCCCTGTCTTGTGCTGGCGGGCCATGCCCTCCGGATGCTCCCGTGTGCCTGGGTTGGTGTCCTGTGGCACTCTGGGGTCTCTCTGTTGGCGGTGTGCCGCACCGCTGATTCATCTGTCACCTGCTTCGGCCCGGCCAGATGCCGCCGGGTAGACTGTGTCATGTGTCTGGCCTGTGCAGCTTGGGCTATCTCTGTGGGTGGTGTTGGCCTTGGTGGTGTGCCTGTGTGCTGCTTCAAGTGGGTCTGGTCGGACTGCAGGTCTGAGGTCCTGAGCTGTCCGGTCTCCCCGTTTCGTTGGCAACGGCTTTCTGCCTGCCCTGCCCATGCCTGACCTGGCAGTTGGGACCCTGGTGGTGTTGATTCCGGAGATGTCTCCACCAATGGATGGTGGTTTCCTTTGTGACTCCAGGATCGTGTCGCCACTCGGTGAGTGCGCCGTGTGTTCCGCTTGATGATGGATCTGTAGATGTGGTTTCTGTGGGTCACCGAAGGGCTCGATCTGGACGTCTGGACCCCAGCGGCTGTGATGTTGTCCATTAGGGTCATCGCCGCCTGAGTGTAGCGCTCGATGACCATGCTACTAGATGTTGGAGAACTTCTTGCTCCTTGCCGGAGCTCCAGGCATAGTTTCCAGTTGGCTGGAACATTTTGATCTGTTCTAGTTTCTGGGTCTTTGTGCGTACCAAGGCGCACCACCAGGCGATCCATGCTCGGATGTTGGCCCCCGCCCCCATTCGGAGAAGTATCAGCGCCCATTCAATGGCTTCAAGGGCGTCTAAGAGGGAGGGCACGCCTTTGGGTGACTTTTGTGTGTTGCCACTGTTGTGAATTGTGCTGCTCCCGGTGGTCAAGCGCTTGCATGAGTGGATTTGGGTTGCCTGCGGCATCAAAGAACCTGTTTGCCAGCAGCTCGTGTAGTTGGATGGGTGCGTGGACCTTGTGTTTAATTTCAATTTCCCACCACACTCGTGCCAGGATCTTCTCGGTCCCGAGGAGCATGCGTTGCGGAAACTCCCGCTTGGCTCCGTCCATTTCCTGATTTTCGTACTTGGTCAGGAGTGCTTTCTGCACCTCTGGTGGTGGCTCTTTGGGTGGCTGTTTGGATGCCGTGGGCGAGCTGGTTGTGGTGTGTTGGCTCCTGTGCTGGCCTGGTTGATGGGCTGCTCGCCTGGGACAGCTGGTCATATAGCTGATCTTCCACAGGTATCGGATCTGTGCTTTCGCGAGAGTCATTCTTCGGCCGCAACCCGGGGGGTGACTCCGTCGTGGGCGTATCCTTCTTCAAGTGGTTTCACCAACAGTTCATCCACTTCGTCCCAGCTCTTGGCCATTGCGCCTATAAGACGCCGGTGGACAATGCCTGTCTCACCCGCAGATAGCCCAGGACGACTTTATCCACTCCTGCCTCCTCGGCCAGTTTCAAGAGGTCTGGATTCAGGCCCTCATGGCGTGCTCCCCCCCGGAGCTTGGTCTACGAATTGAAATGTGTGAAAGAAACCGTGACACCATACCAAACATAGCCAAAGATGCAAAACAGAGAGCCAGTGATGGAAACAGTTAAACGGTCTGTCGTGTCGAGCTCTACGCGAGCCAACCAGCGGATGACATGCAAGCACATGAAGTGGGTGTTGACTCACGCCCAGATGTGCGGACCCACCTAGCACGGCTGGGTTTGTGTGCTGTGTATCTGGCACCGTCGGGTCTCGGTCCTGGTGGCTTCATGAGTCCGACTGTCTTGGTGGCTCTGCGACCAGTGGTGGTGCCCTCTGCCTGTGAGGTTGTGAAACAGATTCGGCAGAATTGGCTGCCGCTGTGAGCCCTCATGAATTGGGCTTCGCCGTGCTGCCAGCCGCATGGAGCGGACCATTCCCACACTGGAAGGTCGTCTTTGCGCTCCTGGTCGATGGCAGTGTATGCCTACCACAATAGGCGGTGTTGGGTTGAGGTCCTTGACACTGTTTGGAAAGTTCCAGAATGTCTGTATCTGTGCCGTCATGTCTTCCATTGGGGTCTGATGGTGACTGTCCTGGTCTTTCAGTGCTTCCGCCTGATGTTGGAGATCTGCCAGTGTTCCCCCGATGCTGCAGGACCGTCGGCGAGTCCCATCTTGCCAAGAGCAAGATCAGCTTGGTGCTGAATCCCAATCGGGCTAGAAATCTTGTGCCCAGTGCTCGCAGTATCTCTCCAGAACCGCCTGGGATCAGTTCTCTCGACTGTGACTCTGTCAATGGTGTGTCAGAATCCTGCAGCGCTAGGCAGATCTGGCTTAGCAGCTCTGTTGAGGTCTGCGCTCCCTGTTGAAACAGGGTCCGGTCTGTGTCCGCTCCTGGCTCTGAGCTGGCCATGGTGAGGTCCAAGATCGCCGCCATGTTGTGGTATGGGCATTGTCTTTTGCCCGCGATGATGCAGGTGCACTTGAGAGAAATGTCAAGGGTGGGACCTCGTGTCCCCAGCTGGCTGGCCGGAAGTGTCCAAGTCACAACTTGCTCTTCGTCGTTGAGCTTGATGTATGACCTGGTTGTGCTCATCAGCTCGTCGACAGCAACCAGAAACTGGCAACCCACCACCAGCGTGTGGTATGTGATCCTGCGGGCTTTGGGCCACGTCTGAAAGTTTTTGGTGTTCACTTCAGTGATGTCGATCATATTCTGTGGGTTGGCTGCACCCCTTTTTGGGTAGAGGGTGTCTGCAAACTCCCGAGCGGACGATTCAGTGTGGCATCACGTTGAATGGGAGTCCCCATATGTGAGCAATCCTCCTCCAACACCGTTTGTGGTGGTTGGTTGGCCTCCTTGCAATGGTCCATGGATGTCCCTGAGGAGTGCTGTCAGGTCCTGGAGGCTATCACCCGGGCCAGCGAGTATCTCGTCGCTGGTGTGGTCGGGCCCTCGGGATTGCGTTCCCTCCCTCCGGTCTGCTCAACCAATCGCCACCCCGCAGTTTGCCGCTCCTGCAGTTGGTGCCGCAAGGCGTCCCACGTGCCGCTGGCATCTGCAGCGCGGGGTCTGGCTCAATCCGGGCCATCACATCGGACGGCTTGAGTATGTTGGCTTCCACGAGTTCAGGTAGCCATGTCTGTGCCCCAGCAGCTTTGGCGGCACCACTCAGTGTTTTGAAGGTGTCCATTGGGCCTACATCCTGGTGCGCACCTCAGTCAGTTCGCTGAATTATGAGTGCTCGACACAGCGTCCATCGGATATCTGCATGACATCGATATAAACTCAGCAACGGTAAAGTGCAATCAAAGCACAATTGCGTACGTGTGGCATGTCGGCTTAAGCTGCAGGAGAGGACAGGGTCGGCTGGAGACGCAATTGAATCAAATTCCTCGTTGTTCTCTCTCCAGGTGCTATGCTAAATGGATTTCCGTATCTGCAGCAGTGTTGGTATGGCATCTTGCCATCCTGCTTGGCGCGGGTGGTACGTTCCCGGCTGTCTTTGGTCGGGCCCGCTTCCGGTTCCTGTTCTGAATGAGTCTTCCTGGGTCCCTTCTGGGGATCACTTCCTTGATGTCAATGCCGTGTGACAGGAAGGGTGGCCCAGTAATCGCCATGGCTCAGGTGGATCTACAGTTCACCTGTTTAAATTTGGCGCTCGAGCCTTCACACCTTCGGCATTCGGCTCAAGTGCTCACGACCTCCCATGTTCCTACGCACAATGCTTGTGCTACAAAACATATCCATTTTACAGATGTTAACATTTATGTTTTTTGTTGATCAGCACTAATCAAATTTCATGTATCAACCATTAATCCACAACCTGTACCATCAATCAACCATTAATCAACCATTAACCTTGTTAAACCGTTAAACGACCACCTGTGCCGCTCCTCAGTGATGACCACCCAGAAGATCGCACCCCCCAGGTGGAAAAGTGCTGCGACCGGCCACCAGGTGGCAGCCCATCTCAAACTGCGGGTGCTTAGCATACAAGTCCAGATCAAGCAGAGCCTCAGCATGACATCGCTATGATAACCCGGTATGTATATGTATATGTCTATGTCTTGTATTGTGTTTTATTATATTATATCATATCATATTATATTGTATCAAATTATATTATATTGTATTAAATTTTATATATATAGTGTATTGTATTGTATTGTATCATATCATATCATATTATATCATATTATATTATATTATATTTTATATTTTATATTTTATATTTTATATTTTATTATATTATATTATATTATATTAGATTATGTTATATTATAGTATATTATAGTCTATTATATTATATATATATATGTATATGTGTATATATATATATGTATGTATATATATATATATCACATATCCATGTCAAGATCTGTACCATACGCGAATATATACTGTATATATATATATGTATATAATATATATATATATTGTATGTGTTGATTATGTGTGTGTAACCCAATTACCAGAGAGACAAGCTTGCACGCCGTGGCGTGCACAGCCACTCTAAGAAGTGGGCACATGAATAAGTAGTGCAAGTAGGACGAAGAAGGCAGCACCTTTCAGAACCGACGGAACAAATATCCCAAAATGGATGGTTTATGTCTATGTCATGGAAAATCCCATCTATAAATGAATGATTTAGATTGATTTAGGGGTGCCATTTCTTAGAAAACCTCCAAATCACGGCAAACACTTCAGGGACGATTTGGTCTTTCCGTCACAGCTGCCAACTGCTTCCAAAGGCACCATAGCTGTACAGGCAAAGGTCGAAATACACTTGACATTTCAGAAGGTACCTCCACAGAAAAAAACAGCTGCCATATGCCATCATACATTACATGCAATGCTGGCTCACCATTTGCAAATGGGCGAAAGGCAGCTATTGCCCAGCATCAAAGTTCCATGCCATTTGCCTGTGCATCTCTGTAGCTCAATGTGATTCAACCACTATGCTGCCGCATATCAATGATGTCAATGACTTCGTGGACCAGACTGTACCAGACTGTCCACAATTTCACGACACGTTTCAGAGTGCCGATTCTCTGAATTTGTCATCACCAGCACTCTGGCTTGTTCACACAACTCAATTGACATGAATCAAGGGCAAGGGCAAATCTGGTCCAAGCTGCAGTTGTTCTCGAACATGGTGTGGTGCATCGTCATCCTCTAATACCAATGCAATGCTATGGAAAAATAACCCAGATCAAAAGTAAAATCAACTGAGATTAGGACTTTCTTCCCTGAACTGCCAAAAGGCCCCAATGCCTGCTGTCGCAAAACGTAAAATAACAACCACCGACACAATGAAACTGAAGGAGCCTTCTGGCACCATAGCCAATCAAAGCTACCTTGGATTCAAAATGTCTCAAAAAAAATCATCGGATGAATGTCATCCGATGTCCAGGCTTCTGCGGCGTCCAGGTTTCTGTGGTCACGACCCAACTTGATCTCCAGTGGGGCATAGCTATGGCCATGGCATTGAAAATCCTTGGCACAGCCGGACGCTGCCCATAAAAGCAAAGCACAAAACCAACGACAGGGCCGCCGGACAGGGCGATAGAGGCGATGGTGATGGAGGTCTTGGACGCTTTAGTGTGGATGGTTCGACCTTCCTTCCGCCGTTCCTGTGACAGAACCAACCACTTTATTGCAAAAAAAAGTGGGAGTATGATGGAATGTGTGTGTGCCGCAGACCGGGAGTGCTGCCCAGAGGTTTATCATGTGTTTGTTTAGAGTTTATTTAAGCTTTCATTTAGGGTTTTAGGGTTTTAGGGTTATTCCACAGTTTTAATCAGATTTGACTTTCAAGGCTTACTTAGGGTGTCATATCAGATTTAGTTGTAAGGTTTAGGATGTAGGGTTTAGGGTTTATGGTTTTGTGTTTTGGAAAGAAATCTCGTCAGCCATTTGGGCAAACACTGGCCCTGTGCAGTCAAAACACACTTCCCCGGGCAGCACCCCTGTTCTGGCCGTGTATATTATATTATATTATATTATATTATATTATATTATATATTATATTATATATTATATATTATATATTATATATTATATATTATATTATATTATATTATATTAAATTATATTAAATTATATTAAATTATATTATTATCTTATGTTATCTTATGTTATCTTATGTTATGTTATGTCATGTTATGTCATGTTATGTCATGTTGTGTCATGTTATGTCATGTCATGTTAGGTCATGTCATGTCATGTCATGTCGTCTTATCTTATCTTGTCTTATCTTATCTTATCTTCTATTCTATTCTATTCTATTCTATTCTATTCTATTATATTATATTATATTATATTATATTATATTATATTATATTATATTATATTATATTATATTATATTATATTATATTATATTATATTATATATGTGTACAACTAGCTTACAATATGGTAATTTTGTGTGTCTTGAAACGGTATAATAGAATATACATATACAGTATACAACCAACTGATGATGTGAATTAATGTGATATTTGGCGTTGTCTTCAAATGGGGGATGGACCCCTAAAATTCAAATCAAATATATACTGGCTAAAATGAGATTCTAAGCTATCAAATTTGGCAGTGTGTCAAAACCTTGTACCCCTGGTGAACATCAAAATAGCTGGTAAATGGATGTTCATTCCACTAAAAATGTATCTATAGGTATTGACCCATACCCATTTGGAGGCATGTTATTTTCAGACAAACGCATAACAACAACTCAAGCCGGTCAAAATTCACTGGAAATTCAAACCATGAATTCATGGTACAGTCTTTTGTCCAGCAACTGTTGCAGCCTTGTGCGTGTTGGCCTTCCTCCGTTTCAGTAATTCTTCATGCCAACTTCCAGCCTGCTTTGCACAAACCAGGAAATTAAGATTCAAGTTATCAACATAGAAACAGTGAAGTATGTTCAGCAAAGAAGTTGAGGATATGACTTGCGGCCCTTTCATTCTGAAGCCTGAGCAAGTCATGGCAGGCATTGGTTACAATTTTCCAGACATGTAATGAAGACCATGATTAGCCTTTCCGCCAGTACACCGCCACAACATCAGACAACTCACAAAAAGTCCGCAAAAAAAAATGTCCTTCCCCCGCAGTTTTGGCATGTCTTAGCACAGCACGAACTGCACTTTTCAGCAGCTCTTATGGAGAAAATCTCAAGGCAGTGTGCCTCATCGGAGAATCAAGACCTTTGCAATTTTGTATTTTGGGGTGTGTCTCATGGAAACCTAAAATTTCATGATTTATCATGATTTTTTCGTGATTTATCACCATTTCTCTAGCACAAAATTGCCGGAGCACCCCCCCACGAAGGACAATTTCATGACAACACCTAAACGATGAAGTATCATCTGCTGACCTCGAGATTTGATGGACACTGGCAAGAAGAAAACAACACGTCAATGACGCAGCTCGAGCCGAAAATTACGCAACCAAATGCAACCAGTTACCCAATGATAAGTCCTTGTCCACCAGAAGTCCCCATGAGATTCACATGGCCCAGCTCCATGACAACCACGCCCAGCCCGACAGCCACTTTTGCGATGACGCAGCTCTTGAACACGGCATGCGCGTCTGAAATAACGGTCCACCAAGGCCGCCAAGCTATTGTGAAAGAGTCCAGGGGATGGGTCAACCCTACAAATGGAGATGGCCCAATCCATGAGACGGACGCATGCCCGGCCACCAAGGCCACCAAGTTCTTTTTCGTTCTTCTAGACTTCTTCCTTTTGTCTCGAATCAAATGGGAAAGCTAAGAATAGATTCCCCACTCGCCGAGCTTCAGTGCGTAGATTCGGGTTCAGTTTTGCAGAGAATCAAGTTCTGCTCAGAAACAAGACTTCTTTGCTCTCCGTTTTGGTGCGAACAGTATCATAGAATCATACTGTGGTGTGAAGATGTGGGTCAAACTATCTAAACTTTGAATATCAGCTGTCCCTTTTGAGTTTGCGCTCCTTCATGGCGCCATGGCACCAAAAGCCGGCTTTGAACAACTCAAAGTTTGATGTGCTTAAAGGCGCATCGTCTGACGCACTACCAGTAGTACCCGCACGAGGCGGGGCCGAAGTTGCCTTAGGGATATATAAGATCTTTCTCATCTATACTATAGAACTTGCATGCGCCGTGCGCCAGCCAAGCCCGTGCGTGCGTTCATTCTGCGAAGGTGGTGTCCTGTTTCACATGTCACATTTGAAGCTCCACTTCGCACTTCACACTTCTCACTGCGCCCTTCACACTCCACACTTCACGCTTCACACTCCACACTTCACACTGCACTCTTCGCACTCCACACTTCACACTTCACACTTCACAGTCCACACTTCACACTTCTCACTGCTTTCTTCACACTCCACACTTCACTCTTCACACTCACACTCCACACTTCACTCTTCACACTGCACTCTTCACTCTTCACACTGCACTCTTCACGCCCCACGTTTCACGCTGCACTCTTCACACTCCACACTTCATCTCATCTGAGCTCTTCTCACCTTATCCCAGCTCATCTCTTCTCATCTCATCTCTTCTCATATGTCATCTAAGCTTTCATGAGTCACTTCCCACTACTACTACTAAGGAACTTGCATGCGCCGTGCGCCAACCTGGCCCGTGCGTGCATGCTTTGTGCGAAGCTGTTGCAGTGTTGTTGTCCAAGAACATGACCTGCGCGCGACCCCGGTGCAACGCAACGCCAAGCAAACACTTTCCTCACACTTCACATTGCACTCTTCACACCCCACACTCCACACTTCACACTTGCACTTTGTCTCAACTCATCTCATCTGAGCTCTTCTCATCTCATTTCATGTCTTCCCATATGTCAGCTAAGTTCTTCTTGGCTATTTTCATGTCATCTGAGCGCAGCTCAACCTTTCTCATCTCACCGAAGCTAGTCTCAACTCATCTCGGCTCTTCTGCGCGTCAGAAAGCTTGAGACACAGATGCATTTACACAGAAGAGTCTTTACAAAATACTTTGTACTACAAAGCTTGCACAAAGCAAGTCCCAATACTACTTTGTACTACAAGCTTGCGCAAAATACTTCCCAGTGCTACTTTGTACTACAAAGCATGGCACAAAGCACTTCCCAGTACTACTTTGTACTACAAAGCTTGCACAAAGCACTTCCCAGTACTACTTTGTACTACAAAGCTTGCACAAAGTGCGTCCCGGCACTACTTTGTACTACAAAGCTTGCACAAAGCACGTTCCAGCACTACTTTGTACTACAAAGCTTCCACAAACTACTCCCCAGTACTACTTTGTACTACAAAGCTTGCAAAAAGTCGTTCCCAGTACTACTTTGTACCACAAAGCTTGCACAAAGCACTTTCCAGTACTACTTTGTACTACAAGGCTTGCACAAAGCACTTCCCAGTACTACTTTGTACTACAAAGCTTGCACAAAGCACTTCCCAGTACTACTTTGTACTACACAGCTTGAACAGAGCCCTTCCCGCTACTACTTTGTACTACAAAGTTTGCACAAACTACTTCCCAGTACTACGTTGTACTACAAAGCTTGCGCAAACTACTTCCCAGTACTACTGTCTACTATCGACTACAAAGTTTGCACAAAAAACTTCCCATGCTGCTTTGTACTACAAAGCTTGAACAAACTACTTCCCAGTACTGACATTCTGCTGACAAACCAATATCGCAGCCTTGATGCAGCCACTCCAATGCGATTTACGATGTCCAGCTGCAAAAGAGAATAGTCTATTACACATGCAGCCGCGGCACAAAGCAACCTTGACGCAGCCATTACAATGCGATCTGCAGAGACTGAGTTGCAAACCAAAATAGAATTACGCACAACGGTGTCGGAAATTGCAGCTCCAAAACTGGATCTCCACGCCAAAGCGATAAAAAGACGATTTTGAAGCATTTTTCAAAAGGATTTTTAAAAGGAAAATTACTAGAGCCAAAATTGAATAAATCTGCTAACAAATCACTGTCGCAGCCTTGATGCAGCCACTCCAATACGACTTACGATGTCCAGCTGCAAAAAGGAATAGTATTACGCATGCAGGCGCGGTGCCAAGCAACCTTGACGAGTTATTACAATGCGTTTTGCAGCATCACGTCGCAAACCTGCACGTATCTACGCACATGGCAATGCGATCTGCAGAGGCTGAGTTGCAAAACACAATAGAATTACGCACAACGGTGTCGGAAATTGCAGCTCCAAAACCGGATCTCGACACCAAAGCAAAAAAAAAGACAAGCTTGAAGCATTTTTTAAAAGGATGTTTAAAACGAAAATTGCTAGCACCAAAATTGAGAAAATCTGCTGACAAATCACAATACGATTTACAATGTCCAGTGTCCAGCTGCAAAAGGGAATAGTATTACGCATGCAGCCGCGGTGCCAAGCAACCATGACGCAGCCATTACAATGCGTTTTGCAGCATCACATCGCAAACCTGCACATATCTAATCTACGCACATGGCAACACCAGATGACAACAATCATGCAGCCATTCCACTGCGATCTGCAACCACAGATTCCAAAACACCCTATAACTATGCACACACAAGCACACCCAAAGCAGCTTGAAGCCACCGTTACAATGCGGCAAAAAAAAAGGCAAACCGACCGCAGCCGCAACCGCCGCACACAGGAGGTACCTTTCATCGCCGGCTGCAGCCACTTTACACAGAAAAATACAAGGTTTCGTGCTCCCTCCCAACACAAGCCCCATGCAACATTCATGCAGCCATTACAATGCAGTTTGCACCTCCCTTCATCAACTTCAATCCTTGTGTGATGTATTGTTATGTGATGTCAAGTCTCACACCGCCCTTCATCAATGTCAATTCTTTTGTGATGTCTTGTTATGTAGTGTAAAGTCACACACGGCCCTTCATCAAGGTCAATCCTTTTGTGATGTATCGTTATTTAGTGTAAAGTCCCACACCACCCTTCATCAAGGTCTATTCTTTTGTGACGTATTGTTATGTAGAGTAAAGTCTCACACCTGTATTGTTATGTGGTGTCAAGTCGCACACCGCCCTTCATCAAGGTCAAGTCTTTTGTGATGTATTGTTATGTGATATCAAGTCTCACACCTGTATTGTTATGTGATGTCAAGTCTCACACCACTGCCCTTCATCAAGGTCAAGTCTCACAATTCTATTTGTCCGTAACACGGAAGTATTGCTTCCCAACTTCCTTTGCCAAATCGGCCAAGGCTCCAAGTTGATGCGAAATCGCCGATCAATCTTACAGGCGAATGGCACAGAGATCACAGGTTTTGAACCTGCGATCCAGCTACGGTGACGAGCTTATCAAAGGAAGTTTAGGGGGAGAAACTTCCGCGTTACGGACTTTTAGAATGTCAGGGAAAGAGTTAGTCAAAGAAAGAGTTAGCAAAGAAAGAGTTCGTCAGGGAAAGAGTTAGTCAAAGAAAGAGTTAGTGAGGGAAAGAGTTAGTCAAAGAAAGAGTTAGTGAGGGAAAGAGTTAGTCAAAGAAAGATTTAGCAAAGAAACAGTTAGTCAGGGAAAGAGTTAGTCAAAGAAAGAGTTAGTCAGGGAAAGAGTTAGTCAAAGAAAGAGTTAGTCAAAGAAACAGTTAGTCAAAAGAGTTAAAGAGTTAGTCAAAGAAAGAGTTAGTCAAAGAAACAGTTAGTTAGCAAAGAAAGAGTTCGTCAGGGAAAGGGTTAGTCAAAGAAAGAGTTAGTCACAGAAAGAGTTAGTGAGGGAAAAAGTTAGTTAGTTCATCAGCGAAAGAGTTAGTCAAAGAAAGAGTTAGTGAGGGAAAGAGTTAGTTAGGGACAGAGTTCATCAGGGAAAGATTTAGTCAAAGAAAGACTTAGACTGTCAGGAAAGAGTTAGTCAAAGGAAGAGTTAGTGAGGGAAAGAGTTAGTTAGGGACAGAGTTGGATTGCAAGTGGTGCTGGTGGAGGAGTTGCCGATGGAGTTTTGAAGGAAGTCTCGCACGAAATGCGTTTTTGAGAGATAGCAGATGCACGAAACCCTATGTTTTTCCATACAAAGTCCGTCCCCGAACCTCGATGATCTACCTCTGCCGTGCGACGGGTGCGAGACGGTCTCGTGTGTGGCCGGATCATGGGCGGATCATGTTCGGATCGGTTCCGCATTGTAAATGGTGTTTCACCTGTGTTTCGTGCATGTGCGGTCGACAGAATTCCATTGTGATTTGCAACTGTAGGATCGTTCCCGCAATGTAAATGGGATTGCAAGTGGTGCTGGTGGATGAGTTGCCGATGGAATTCCATTGTGACTTGCAACTGTAGGATCGTTCCCGCAATGTAAATGGGATTGCAAGTGTTGCTGGTGGATGAGTTGCCGATGGAATTCCATTCTGCTTTGCAACTGTAGGATCGTTCCCGCAATGTAAATGAGATTGCGGTTTGCCGCTCAGTCTTTGCAGATCGCA